ATTTCAGGGACAACCTGCTACAAATTTAACACCGTCGAAGAAAAAAGTGAAAAATATTGGAATATTTGTCAAAGATGAAGAGGAAGAGGAGGAGGAAGGAAGTGGAAAAGAAAATGAACCTAAACCTGAGATTCTTGGTCGTGGGAAGAGAACAGCTGTAATAGAATCTAAGTTGAGAACAGAACACAGTTCTGAAGAAAAAAGAAAACAACATCAAAAAGAATTAGCACAACAGCTAAATGAAGTTGCAAAGGCTCGATTAGCTCAACAATCTGGTGGGAAGGAACAAGAAAAGATACGGAAATCGACAGTATCGTATAAAAGTTTGAGTCATGTGCCACGAGAACCGGAAGTGAAGGAACTGAAGTTATTTGTTGGTAAGTGCATTTGTATATTGTTTATAAAAAAAAGTTGATACATTATTTATTATATATCACATAATTATATTTCAGATAAAAAATATGAAACTGTAATTTTGCCCATCTTTGGAATTCCTGTGCCCTTCCACATATCTACAATCAAAAATATTTCTCAATCAGTAGAAGGAGATTATACTTATCTCCGAATAAATTTTTTTCATCCTGGTGCCACAATGGGACGGAACGAAGGTGGATCTTATCCACAACCCGATGCTACATTCGTTAAAGAAGTGTTAGTACATAATTTCATTTTCATTTTTTTATGTCTACTCGCAATTAAATTATATAAACATATGATAATGAGCTTTTTATTTTTATGTTTAGAACATATCGAAGTACAAACACCAAAGAGCCTGGTGAAATTTCAGCACCATCTTCTAATTTAAACACAGCTTTTAGATTGATCAAAGAAGTTCAAAAGAAATTTAAAAATAGAGAAGCAGAGGAGAGAGAAAAGGAGGATCTTGTAAAGCAGGACACTTTAATACTCTCTCAAAATAAGGGTAATCCAAAACTGAAAGACTTGTACATTCGACCAAATATCGTTTCGAAAAGAATGACAGGAGGTTTAGAAGCACATGTAAATGGATTCCGTTATACTTCAGTTAGAGGGGATAAAGTTGACATTCTTTACAATAATATTAAGAATGCCTTTTTCCAACCCTGTGATGGTGAAATGATCATATTGCTCCATTTTCATTTAAAGGTATATATCTTTGTTTTTGTAATATTTATTGTTATGAGCGATCCAATTATTAAATAGAAATTATTTTTAGCACGCAATAATGTTTGGTAAAAAGAAGCACGTGGATGTGCAGTTTTACACAGAAGTTGGTGAAATCACGACAGATTTAGGAAAACATCAACACATGCACGATCGTGATGATCTTGCTGCTGAACAATCGGAACGAGAACTTAGGCACAAATTAAAAACTGCTTTTAAAAGTTTTTGCGAAAAAGTACTGTTAATTGAGTCATTTTATTTATAATTTCTTATTCATTGATCAAATATTATTTCTTATATACAGGTCGAAAGCATGACGAAACAAGAAATCGAATTTGACACACCATTCCGAGATCTGGGATTCCCCGGAGCACCATTCAGGAGTACTGTTCTTTTGCAACCCACTAGTGGTTGTTTAGTAAATCTCACAGAATGGGTAAATTTTATTTCATATATAATTTTATATTAAACATAAATATCAACTTATTTTTATATTTTCATATTTTATTTCATATATTTTCATATTTTATTTCATATTTCATATTTTATATTTTCATATTTTATTTCATATATAATTTTATATCAAACATAAATATCAACTTATTTTTATATTTTCATATTTCAGCCTCCATTTGTTATAACTTTAGAAGATGTCGAACTTGTTCATTTTGAAAGAGTACAGTTTCACCTTAAAAATTTTGATATGATTTTTGTTTTCAAAGACTATCATAGAAAAGTTGCTATGTTGAACGCTATTCCTATGAATATGCTGGATCATGTAAAGGAATGGCTGAAGTAAGTTTCTTGGTGTTTATTCTATTCTTTATTAAAAATTTCTCGAGAATGAAATATAAATATGTTACGTTTTTTTTAGTTCATGCGATATCAGATACACAGAAGGTGTACAATCTTTGAACTGGACAAAGATTATGAAAACTATCACAGATGATCCTGTAGGATTCTTTGATAGCGGTGGTTGGAGTTTCTTAGATCCAGAAAGTGATGCAGAAAACGATGAAGTAGAAGACGAAGAAGAAGAAGAAGACGACGCTTATGAAGTATGAAATATATTTAGTTAAATAATCGTACATAATGTGATACAAATCTGTATATTATAAAAATAATAATTTTTATGTTTTATTTGCAGCCATCTGATTTTGACAGTGAAGAGGAATCTGATGACGATTCTGAATACTCTGAAGCTTCAGAAGACTCGGACAGTGAAGGTAATATCTAAAAACTTTATTTAGATGTTAAAAGAATGTATTTGATTTATTACTTAACATTGTTTTTTTTTTCTCTCTAAATTTTTATTTTAGAAGAGGAATTGGGTAGTTCTGAGGAATCTGGTAAAGACTGGTCTGACTTGGAACGAGAAGCAGCTGAGGAAGATAAAGAAAGAGGAGAGGATAGATTTCATGATGATTATAATTCAAGTAAAAAGAAGAAAGGAAGTCGAAAACATTCACCTTCACCATCAAAAGACAGGTACGTTATATTTTTATACAGTTATAATGAAGCAAAGATAGCAATAAAATCAAACTACTATATTCCCTAACGTTGACACTAATTCAGATGTATGATTTATAGGCATAATTCGAAGCACAAGAGTTCTTCAAGTTCAAAAAGTAAAAGTTCGTCCAGTAGTAAAGATAAAAAATCATCGTCATCAGACAAGCATAGGTAAGAAACTTCTTCTCATAATGTAGATTTTCGACTATATTAACCTTTTCGCATCTATGGATGAAATATCTTTCCACGAAATATCATTCATGATATTTGAGACGAGATCTTGCGTATGTCTTTTCGTTAAAGCTCGTGATCTCTTGTTCAATAATTCGAATAAAAATAAATTTCTAAGACATCGCGTTTATGAATATGAAAAGGATTAACAGTGTTAGATAAATAAAACGTTGGAAAAAAAAAATAATTCAAAATATGGTATTGCGTCTCAAGATATTTTGTCCAGAATATCATGAGCAATTTTATATAAAGAAATATTTTACGTCTTCGGATACGAAGGGGTTAAACATATAAAGAAATTTTGTGGTAAAATTATGCTAAGTATATGCTTCAATAATTAAAGATCGGATCGATCGCGGAGTGGGGGATCACACAAGAAAGTGTCTCCTTCTAAATCATCCAAACACAGGTGATTAACATTAACATATATATGCTTGACGATGTTACATTTAATGTTTTGTTTCTGTTTAGTCCCAAGAAGAGCGACAAACACGATAAGCATGACAAACACAAGTCATCTAACCATTCTTCGTCTAGTAGTAAGAAACGATCTCGCGAAGACAGTGAAGAGCGAAACGATAGGGGATCGAAGAAATCTAAGTATATATAAATATTTTATAATTTATACTCCAATTTATATTTAATATTCTTTTTTTAAATTACCAACATACATTACAGGAAATAAGGAACGTATTATTTACGTATTGGAGGAAGCACATATGAAAACACGAACACCGAATATTGATTCTATATTAAACTTTGTTATGGTACGTCGATTAAATTAGAAGGATAGTACATTTTCTTGCATTGATTCATTTAAACTGTTAGCAAACGATTTGTTATTGATATTATTTAAAAGTTCGATAGTGTGCTGATAAGAAACAAATCTACATCTACTTGGTGATAGTAATATAATATGTATAAACTTGTGCGAGTAATTTAACATAAATTTATGAACGAATACATTTTTTTAATACATGTACATAAAAGTCTTTTTTAAGTAAAAACTGTCTAATTATATAATATAGCTACTAACACGTATCGTTTCATTCCATTGTTCGTTTGCTAGTAGTATTCAAATGTATTTGTAATAACTTATTAAGTTTGTGAACTGAAAATGCATTGACGCATTGAAATGGCATTCATTGTACAGATAGTATATATAAAAAGAAGAAAGCAAATGGTCTTGTCTGTTATGAATATTATTCTTTATTAAATATACATGAAAATTAATTCGTTACAATAGAAAAACTTACAGGTATAATTGTAATACACTCTCAATGCAAGACAATGCACTAGGGTTAACTATCATATATAAGAAGCATAAACATTAATTTACTAAACAAAGAAAGCTGGAATGGATCAAAATCTTTGATAATTTTGTTCATATAGTTCTGAAATTTGTACCTTGGTAAACAAAATAAATACTTTTTAAGTTATTTATCATTAATGTACGAAACATTATCACTTATTGACAGAGTGTCCTTAAAAATAAAATTAAAGTAGAATTGAAAAATTTTTAAAGACGGCACACTATCACTTAATTTTTATTACTTTCATTGGAGCTAAAATTCTTTTGGCTTTGTAGCAGCATAAAGGTGTGATTCAATCATCCTTCAGATCTTATGTAATTACTTTCCTTTTAACTTCTCCAAAAAAAAAGAAAGGAATATCGAATTCAGGATTTCAGGTTCGTATGAAAGCGAAAATAAAATGAAAGTATTTTTAGTATTTTACTAAATTTTATCGTATTCTCGACTCATCTTTTTTTTTTCAATATCTGATTTGATAATAGACGTGGAGAAACACTTACTGGTAATTTGTTATTACGTTTGAATTCCTTGGCAATGCCATGCAATAAATGCCAAAGAAGAATCATTTTAATAGTAATGTAAATGTAGGTGAAGTGAAAGTGTACCTCTGGTTAGTGGTTCTGCAGCTTTCTCCATAACATCACTAAGTATATATATATACATATATATGTATATGTGTATATATATATATATATATACACATTTCTGGCAAGTGACTTAGTTCAATATTTCACAAGTTGTGAATGACATTTTTTTTTTTACACTGAATGATATTACTCAGAATGTGTGTTGTAATACTCTTTTTATGAACGATGTTGGCGAAAGAACAGTTCAAAGTATTTTAAGTATGTAACAAATTTTATAAAATCGAGAAAAATAAATCATCGTCTTTTTTCAAATAATAATTTTTATAATTAAATATTCAAATGTTCTTGTCATTTCATTTTTATGTTGCGAAGTTTTTAAATAAAAAAGAAGAGAAGAACAGAAAATTATACAAACAGATTGCATCATTCTCGGTCATTTATTTATTAAAAAAAAAAAAAATGCAAAAGCCTAAGTACAAAATTATAAAAATGGAAATAAGGACTTATCACATTCTATAAATAGTTGTTATAAAACCTAGGTGCAAAACATTTTTTACAAGGAAACGATGATGATGGAGGAGAGCGGGCAAGTCTAACTGCGACCTATCTGATCGATCTGGGCTTGGAGGTTGTTCACCACTTCCGTTGGAACGTGCGCTCCCAGAATTTCGAAAAGATTTATCTTCTGATCGCCGGGAATCGATTCGTAGGCCGCTAATTCGATGCCTTCTTGAACTTTTTGTATTGTTGCATCTTTCGGAATAAGATAAGTATTCTGCGCCTGTCTTATCGCTTCGTTACTAAAAATCTGACCGTCCTTTTGTGGAAGTGCCATAGCTACTCCCACAACCAACATTGTTGCTAATAACGTAAAACGGATTTCCATCTAAAATAGAAAAAAAAAAAAAAAAATGAAATTTATACTTTATTATTTCTAAAAAAAAAACATCGTTTATTACTGTGAATATATAATAATATACTATCAAAATTTAGATTAAACAAATTATTGGATTAAATGCTAAAGATAAAAAAAAAAAAATACTAAAAGATACGCGCTAAAGTAAAGAATGTCTTGTTTTTCTCTTTGACGAAAAAGATTAAAATTCAAGGATGTTTGATCCGATTCTTGCAACCGATTCTTCTGACGCAACAAGGAACGTACGTAGAAGATGAATATCATGATTTTGAGCGAACACAGTTAATTATAAAAGACAAAAATTCTTCATTAATTAATACCATTGTATATCGCATAATGTAAATTTCAGCCGTAAAAATGAAAGAACAATAATACGAAAATATAATGAATGATGCGATACCCATGAAACTATATTGAACTAAATTATTATACAAAATAAATGGATTAGGTATTGACTAATTATTATACAAAATAAATTAAGATAATATCTAATCTTAATAATTATTAAGATTACATATTGACTAATTATTATACAAAATAAATGGAAGAAAATTAAAAACAATAATATAATTACGTAATATTTTAGCGTGTCAATTGGTGCGCATTCAATCATAACATATTCTAATGAAATTGTTTTATTAAACTAAAAATTTCATAATTATAGAATAAACACATCTTTCCAATCGCAAATTCATACTACTCTTCCGTATTATTCCAACATATTTCCTTATTATTATTCCAACAAATAACTCTATGTTTCATCAGATTTTTAAATTGATCATTAATTTCCCCAGGAAGATGCGTTCGCACACACTTTCACTGTCGTTAGCGATAAATCAGCTTGAGACAGAACTTTCCGTCTGGCTGATCAACTTTCTTCTTTTACTAACTTGTTCTTGTTCTAAAGGAAAAAACCTAAATAACTAAATCTTCGAATGAAAAGCTTGAAAACTTACGTCGACTCGAGCCACGAGAACAGACACACTGGTGTTATTAACGAGAGTTCGGTGGAAATGTATGAAACTGTGTTTAATAAGAATCGAGCAAAAAAATATAGCTCCTTGATGCCCATGCAAGTCGCAAACGCCGCGGGGTTAGCAGTAAAAGGAGATAGAGACCTGGTAGAGATTGTAAAAACAATCTCGTGAATGGTACTCACGTTGGGAGTGCGTCGTTTCACAATCGGTTGCCGTCGAGCGAAACTAAGCGCGCGATCGGCAGAAGCGGCTTTTATACTCGAAATGCTTACGGACGGTGGTACTATGCCACTACTGTGTATTCGGGAGGTCCATCCTCCAATTAGTCAATATTTACAGGAAAGAATGCGTACGATCATCGTATAATTTCGTGTAACTTTTAGTTGTCACCTGACGTAACTTCCCAGATCGACGATTCGAACTCGTATCTACTAACCTCAGTTATTACATTATTATCATAATATTTTATCACAATATTTGCTTGATAATTAACGAATTTTCACGGGATTAGAAAATTACTATGACTGCTATTAATATATTTTATTGGGATAAATACTGAGTATATGACATATAGATATTTCAATATACATATTTTAATAATTTAGATTTCTGATAAACATTATAGTTAAGTATATATAAGCATGCAATAGCGTACTTTGGATTCAACGAGGCAACTCTTTTAAAGCTTTTCTCTCTACGCTTTTACAAATACCATTGTACGACCCGTCATGAATATTAGTGGCCTGTTAACCAATATGTAAGAAATCGCTCGGTTGCTACCAGTACACTTGATCGGCGTTTCACTTTTACCATTGTTCCTCTTGAACTGTGCGAGGAGACGATGCTCTCTTCTTCTCATTGTACAATTTATTATTTTTGCTTATTATTATATCATTCCTTTTATGAAGTAATATATAAATAGAAAGGAAATTATTCATTAGATTATGCGTTATTTCAATAGAAAAACGAATGACAAATTTTTCATTTACATATTTCATGATTTTTTAAAATTTGTCCTTAGACGTATACGTAGACTTATATATTTGAAATATAAGTATGTAATACAGGATAATGTAAATTAAATTATGATACTTGACTTCATTTTTTAAACAATTTTTTTAAACAAAATTTTTATAAAGAATAAATAATTATATCAGATAAATACTGAATGAATCATATGTTGGATTTAAACGGTGTATGCTGGGAATTTTGCTAAAAGAGGATGTTGTAGATCAATCAAGAAATAGATTGTACCAGCAAGACCTAAAATATAAATATATATTATTAGCTTTATATGTATCTATTATTATATATTATTAATTCTATATATATGTCAATAATAAGAAAAAAAGTCTATCATTTATAATAAAATACCTTCAAATAAGGAAAATGGTCTTTCAGGTGATACTACTTGATGTGTTCCATAATCCATACACCATTCTGCAAACTTGCAAGCTCTGTAAAGATGTTTTATATCCTGAAAACAAAATCAATACTTTATTCTAATAATATCTTTTAAAATTATGTTATATCTTTATTATAAATTCGATATAACTTTTGTTTGCTGGAAAAGACTCAAAAATGTATATGCATTTCCAGCTACACCATGGCATATTCCGTATCCTTTTTTAAGCAATCCTCTTGACCAAATCACTTCTCCACATTGTAAAGCAGTTTTCAAATAATTTTCATCTTCATATATCTATATACACATACATTTAATTGTAAATTAAAAATTTAATATTACTAAATATTGGATAATTGAAATAGCATACTCATTCCAGGACAACAACCTTGTAAGCTAAACAGAATAGCATACTCATTCCAGATGCTCCATGACACCAATGTACCAATTTATCAGCCTGGCTTCCAATAGAGGATGGAAAATTTCCAGAAGGATGTCGTATATTCTGAAGAAAATCTAATGCTGGCTTTATATCGTTTTCTAGTTGAGATTGTGTTAGGTACTGATGTGCCTATTAACAATTAACAAATTTACATATATAAAAATTACAAAAAGTTTCTCGGATAACATTAAAAGATTGTGTTAGGTACTGATGTGCCTATTAACAATTAACAAATTTACATATATAAAAATTACAAAAAGTTTCTCGGATAAATATTAAACTTAATTTGTACAATACCTGTAACAACACATAAAGTATTCCAGCCAATCCATGTGCACCACCAATATACTCTGAACCATCCCAAACATACATTAAAGGTGATTTGTATTTTTTTGAAGCAGAATACAGATTTCCAGATTTAATTATGAATGCAATGACCTGATATATGATTTTTTTTTTTAATTATTATAACTGAAGAACAATTACCTTTAAATTTACTTTGTTTTGTTACTCTATAATAATACCTGTTTAATAAGATCATTTTCTATAGGAGCAGGAGATATATTTGAATTTAAAAAGAGAAGGGAAAACAAATATCCAGCCCTTCCATAGAGCAACTCGTCAGGCAAACCGCTACTTTTATTCATAGCAATAAATGATAATGACTTCACTCTGAAAGATCATTTACAAATTTTTACATAGAATATTATTTAAAATTCTGTATATGAAATGTTATTAAACTACATACTTCGAAATCATATTTTGTGCTATATCAGAATAGTCTTTTGAATGAAAAACAACAGCACCCAGGGCTAATGGACCCACTATGCCACTCAAAAATGGAATTTCTTTTTTGCCCTTGAATTTGTCTAAACATATTCTTAATAATTCCATTGCTTTCTGCTCAAAAAAGAAAATGTGTATCTAAAAAATAATTGATCTTTCAAAAGTATAAAAAAATCTTTTAAAACCATAAGGATTCATACATCAACATAAGCTGGTTCATTAAAGCACTTTCCATATTGGTAAAACATATATGCAATTCCTGCTGATCCAGTGTATATAGAATAATCATCATTGTAAGTCCAATGGTTTTTCTTTTCTTCCAATTGGTTCAGTAATCTCTTTGTACATATGTGTACCGTTTCTTTATAATTTTCACTTATCTAATGAACATCAATCTCTTTGAGTTAATAAATATATATACTCATAAAAAATTTATAATATAATTATTGAATAATTTATAAATAATTACATCATTAGTAGCTGCATTCACAATATTTGACGTAGAGTTGGGATACTCTTCAAATGGATTACCATAATGTCGATAACCCATTTTGGCACAAATTAAGTGCTTTAATCGATTAATTATGTAAATGTATCTTATGTCAAATGATCTTTCCTTTTTTATTTTATGTACGTTACACACCTGGGAAAAATTGTATAATCTAATAGTTTACTAATCAACAATTATAATATATTGAATTAATTAAGTCAAGAATTTTTCACATCTAAACAAGCAACGTTTATTAAGTGTCACATTATAATAGATTACTGGTATACCCGGCAAAAGGGTTAACAAATATATTTTCTGTTAAACGAGAGTAATTCTTAAATAAAGATTAATATGTTTATTAGACGAAAAATGTTAAATAAGTATTTTCTACAAATACTACATTCTAATAATCACAACGGAGAAAGATGTTTTAAAAACATACTGAAAAAGCAAATATTTGACGCATCATTTTAAAAATGTATATATATATATATAT